TGGTCGGCCGCCATCTGCTGGGCGGAGCTCCAAGCTTTCCTTCTGAAACGGGTTGCGGTTTGATGACTTCATTCTTGTAATGTTATATCTCATTATTTTTTTCTTGTAATATTACGAAAAAGAAAAAAAAAATCTCTAGCCTGGCCTTAATACTCTGTTGTAGAGAAGCATCTGGAAGTTTATTTCATTTCATTTCCAATCGGCACACATTTTCCAATACTTATAATGACAAACAATGCATATGCACGGCTTGAAAAGGGGATGGAAGAAGCAAAAGCTCAAACATGTCCAATCCCCTCCCGCTCATCCCAGGGACACTCCCAAGACCTGCAAAGGACAAGACGAAGACAAGACAAACAACCCATCCTCACTCATGCATACGAGACAACACACTGGCCCAGTTTATCACAATCAAAAATCTGAAGGCTGGGATTCATTAAACAGCAATGATTTCATTATTCAGCCACTCAGAGGGAAACAATCGTCCACAAATCATAGAATATAAAGATATTTCAGAAGAAATCTTCTCACCCAGAGTGATTCCATCAGGAAACTCGTCTTTCAGGTCAAAAAGTTCACCGAAAGCTCGCAGAAACTCCAGAACCATCAGAGCTTCTCCAAAGAGCTCAGCAGGGAGTCGGGTTTTCACCGGGACCGGGTTGGGTAGCTCCTTCCAGAACAAACGCAGACATTTAGCACCGAAAACCATAAAGATAGTGATCTAACATCCGCTAACTTTTACATTCCTCAGTGGGAATCCAAGAGATTCTGGGTTTTCCTTTCAGAACCAATAAACAGACAGTTGCCCAGCGCTCCTATCACTTCCACAAACCTCGGCGATATAACCAGTCCTTCTCAGGAGCTTGGTGGCCTCCATGTTCTGCCATCAACTATCAGTGGCGGGGGAGCAGCGATTCTGCATTTTCTATTTCCTCGTGTGAAATGTGGCTGAGCTGCACAGAACATAAAGGCTGCAGACGCTGTGACAAGGCAGCTCGTTTTATGTTTGGATTTTTATGCATAATCTGTATTTTTTTTTTAATCTTTATTATATTGTGTAGTTGGATGTGCGTATATATTATATAAAACTAACTGGAGCGTGTAACAAAAGTAATTTCCCTCTGAGATTAATAAAGTATTTCTGATTCTATCTGGTGGCACAACAACAGCAGTTTTACCAAACGCTGAAAAAAATCTAACAAATTTTTACTAAGCCTGAGTTAAATGCAACTTAATAAAGAAACAGAAAAACATAGTGTAAAAGAAGCAAAAATAATACCCAGCATGGACAAGCCCTGGCTCTACTGCAGTAATGCATATTAATCAATGAAGCAGGTATTTTCCTCTGCATTGATCTCTCTGATCAGTCAGCCAGCAGTGGATCATCAGACAGAAGCTGCCAACATCCAGGCTCCTGCTCCTGCATGTTATCTACATATGCTACATAATTGGCCCCGCCCCGCCTAGAGCTTCATATAAAAGGTTTCCATGGTGATACAGCTATTTCCAAGCAATACATTAAAGGGAAGCCTACAGATCAAGGATGAGGCCTCATTGGTGTTTAGATGGAGTCAGGACGGGTGAAGTAATAGCATTACAGCAGAGGTCATGGATTAGCGGACCGCGGCCCGGATCTGGACCTGCTGGCTAATCCGGACCCAACCTGATGTAAAACATTTATAAATTACTGTATGTTGTACAACAACAGAGTCTAATTTCACTTGCTCCTCTTCTCCTGTTAATACGGTAAAGCCCTGGGGAGCGTCCGGCTCCAGGCTGCACGTGATCCAAATGAGCCAATGAGCTGTCAGTCTGGGTTGCTGCTGCTGCTACTTTTAGACACAGCAGGCAAACCTGTGGCAAGCCGGGCGATGGGAAAGAAGGAGAAGACCATGAGAAAAAGAGAGCAGAGAAAGTGTGGACTGCTGGAAGAACTGCGGTGAACTGGTGAAAGAAAAGTGAAATGGCGTGCTCAAAGATGACCCTGCACATTTAGAGGATGTTTGGCTCAACCTGCTGCTGTGAAGCAGGATTCTCCACCATGAACAGAATCAACAATAAATCTGGATCCAGGCTCAGAATGAGCTCCTTGATATGTGCTTGAGAATGGCTTAGTCTCCGGTTAAACCCAGGTTTAAAGCCTTGCAGGGCAGCCTAAAGCCCACTGCCAACATTAAGACAGAAAAAACTCAGAATTCCGTAAAAATTCAAAAAATATCCTCTGGACTTGGTTTTGAAGATTTTGAAGACGTTTCTCCACCTCTCACGGAAGCTTTCTCAATTCAAATGTCTGGATCCGCAGTGAGTTTGAGTCTTATATGGACAAGGCCTTGTATTGTTTGTCCAGTGGATATATTTTGAATTTTTACGGAATGACTAAGACATGGATGACTGAGAACCTCCATCAGCATAAAACTCAAAAAGTCTTCAATAATATTTTTCATAAGGAGTGTAGAAAGCTATAAACAGAAAGGAAGTGTGATGTCACTCAGTGAAGAACTGATTTCCCTTTTTCAACGTCTCCACACTGATGCTGCTGCGTTCACTGACCTTCAGGTTTTCACACTCCATATCCTCTCTGGGTTGGTTTAGCAGCCTCAGGCGCTGAGCATATTTCTTCTTCTCTTCTTTCAGCTTCTCTCGTTCCTGTTGATCAGTCGGTAATAACCCAAAGTTTTAATATTTTCTCCTGAACTGTAATCCCACCTTTACAGCGACGGCTACTCACCCTCTCCTTCTCTAGCTTCCTGAGCTCCCGTTCATTCCTCTTCCTCTGCTTCTCCTCCTCAAATCTTAGTCTCTGCTCCTCCCTCAGCTTGTCTTTATCCTCTCGCTCCTTCCTTTTGGCCTCCTGCACCTCCTCCCTCTCCCTCTTCAGCCGTGCTTTCTCATGGGTTGCAGCAGCCATCTCCTCTCGTTTCTGCAGCAGCTTAAGCTTCTCTTCCAGCACGTTTATTGATGGCGCCTGGAAATCAATCATAGAATCTATGTAAAAACTGGAAAAGCTGCAGTTTAACATTTCTGATAAAACGTCCGTCAGTCGGTCTGAAAGCAACCGACGCACTAACAACTAAGAAATATAAGGCTCCTGTCACACCTTGCTGATTTATCCAGCGTATGCTTGACGTCTCAGAATCTCCTAAACGCTGAACTTTCTACGAATCATTTCAATATTGGGCGTATACATAGTTTTCATAACGAGTCCAGAGCTTCTGTCCAACCACAGGCTAACTTCTGCATAACACACGGCAGCGTAACGCCCATCATATGAAGCACAAGCATCATTTCATGGGCATTAAGGATGATTTATACTTCAAAACGTCGGCGTAGGTGTCTCAGTGAACGCAAAAACGTCCCCGCCCCCTCCGCAGACACTCTGCTACACCTCTCCCAAAGTGTTGGTGACCACAGACAGGAGGCCACTGATTGGTCACATCTACATCCGCTCACCTTCTGGCTCACCCTATGATGGGGATGAAGTCTGGAGGAGAACTGACGGTTTCCTCCTGTGAACCCCCTTTATACCAAAACGCTGCCAATACGCCATTATACAGCAGATGGAAGGTAGAAACACGTTCAGCGCTCGTCTGGAACACGGCAGATACGCCGATATGTTGGAGAGAAGTTCTGGATAAGTTACGCAGAAGTTTAGGATCAGCTAGACGCCACGACTGATGAGGAACTGACGCTGAACGGATGTCAGCCATCAGATAACTGACCTGGAACTGATGGACCACGGATGGCAGACGCTGGAATACGTCAAGGTACTCGCCATTTGAAGGCGTGTTTCGCCGTGCTCATGACTGATACAGAACGTACCCATAACTTATCATGTATGTCAGCATTTTTGCCAAATTTTTCGTACGTCAGGCAGACGCTGGTGTAAATGGCCATTCTGCGACAGAGGCTTACGTTACTGTATTTATGCTTCATGCAGCACATATTCAATGTTACTTGGCTTTATTGTTCGCCACAAACACATTTGGCACGCAGCAAACCAACTATGGTCATGTGTCAATAATTCAACCACAATCTGATCTTTCTGGAGGGTGTGACCCACAGCGAGCTCTGTGGTTGAACAGACTAACATCCTGATGGGTCAAAGCCAACCATACCTTTCCTGGGGAGCCATTAGAGGGGGGGCTGAATAGCGGGGGGTCCTCAGGGAAGAACTGAGAGAAGGTCTGTTCAGAGAGCCTGTACTGCTTCACTGTGGAGGGCTGCAAACAGAAGTCAGATGAAGCTAACGGGTTGGTCCTGCAGAGCAGATGGTGGTGGAGCTCCTACCTTCAGAATGATGCTGCCCTTCTGAGGTTCACAATGATGCTTGAAGAGGAGCTTCAGGCGTTCTCTGGATAGCACAGATTTCTTACGGCTGAAAAATAAATAAATACATGAAAAGATGAGGTGGTTTATTAAAAAAAACTAATGATCATCATGCGGGGGGAAATAAAACCAGTCGACTCCATAACGCCCTGTGGACGTGACTGAGCTGAAACTAACGACTACTTTGCTCATTGATTAACCCGTAAATTATTCCTTCCATCAATAATCGGATAGCGCCTTAAAGAAGACCTTTTATGAAATGAAACAAGGTGGAATTAACATTTTTTCCACTTGAGAAGTTCTAGATAGAGCAGTCTGAGAGAATAAAAATATTTTTTATCTTGAATGCAAAAAGTTTACATTTTTTTACAATCTTGGAATAATTCCTGCTCTAAGTGGGTCTCTGTCAGCTAAAGGCCTGTTTTAGTTTCTATAATCCAGTTGAAGATTAATCGATTACTAAATTAGTTGATTATTTTAATATTCAATTCATCTGCTTACATTTCTCCGCCCAATTATTGAGATGAACAGCATTTAAATGTAAAGCTGTGGTGTGCCAATGTCGTCTTAGCATTCCACTGATATTAATGAGGGTTAAACACCATTATCAGCGTGTTATGGGGACCAGCCAGTATGGACCGTCGCCCATTTCACTAATAGAATTCACTCGTATAAAAGACAAAGCTTTGGTGACAAACAGAACCAGTGGGTCGAGTCCGGGCAGAGTCTGCCCCTGGAGAGACGTTACGGTAAAACCGCGGCTGTGTGGAGGATTTTAACAGCCAACCAGGAGAGGAGGAGGAAAACGACAGGCTGTCTATAAGTAGCTCTGGGCAAAGGAAATCTGAGGTGTCAAATAGCCACTGGATTAGGGTGTCAAATCCCTAATCCAGTGGGATTAGGGATGTATGAGCCCCTGTAACCCCCCCACTGGGAAGTGTGCTGGTTACGGGGGCTGGTTGGTAGAGGTGCGGTTCAGGGTTTGAGTGGACGGGTTACAGGCAGGTTCCATCATTGACTTAAACCTCTGTGTTATAGAAGCAGCATCAATAGTGAACTGGAACACAGGGGGGGGGGGGTATTGGGACAACCTCAGGTCTTTGCTACTGAGCTCATAGCAATCAGACACCAAAGGAATCAGTCACCGATAATAACTACATATCAGATAATATCCAATAAAAGGCATATTTATTCATTTACCACCAGAACCTTTATACTTCAGTTGGTCGTTTTTTATTATTTTTTGATTTTTTGCTTTTGATTTGCCTTTTCTGCTCAGCCTTGTAGCAAGAAGGTTCTGGGTTGAATTCCCAGCCCGGGGTCTTTCTGCATGGAGTCTGCATGTTCTCCCTGAGCATGCGTGGATTCTCTCCGGGTACTCCAGCTTCCTCCCACAGTCCAAAAACATGACTGCTAGGTTAACTGGCTTCTCTAGATTCTCCTCAGGTGTGAGTGTGAATGGTTGTTTGTTCTGTTTGTCTCTCTGTTTACCTGCCATGGACTGGAGACCTGTCCAGGGTGGACCCACCCTGGACAGGTCTCCAGTCCACCCAGGTCCAGGGTGTACTCCGCCTCTTGCCCGTAGACAGCTGGAGAAAGGCACAACCCCCCCTTCACCACCCCAATTGGGACAAGCATGTCTGATAATGGATGGAGATATTTTTTGTTTTGTTTTTTAATAACATATCTCAATAATAATCTCATGGTGATACACTGAAGAATCTCCTGATATCCAGCTTTATCAGCCTGTTCAGTGAACAACACTCTTCAGAGTGGCTGTTGTTACAGTGGGAAGAATGAAAGAAGCAGAGAAATAAGAAGCTGCAGGAGGGGAAACTATTTCCTCAGGCAGGTCAAGACATCTACGAGCTTCTTAGGAAACAATAGGAGCCCGGTTCTGGTTCTGCTGAACGTTTCTTCCCGTTAAAAGGGTTTTTTCCTCTCCACCTTTGCAACATGCTTGCTCAGTGCGAAGGGATTGCTGAAGAGTCAATATCTACTGTTTCTGCCTGCTCATCCAGGAGGAAAGAATCCTGCAAAGTCAATGACTGGATGCAATAAGCTGGTTTCCCTTAGAATCTAACTGTAGGATCTGGTTAAATAAAGTGACCTGAGATGACAGGTGTAGTTTTGGCGCTAAAGAAATAAACTGAACTGAAATGAGAGAATGAAACCATGGTTATGGAGCTCATTGGATGGGGAGTTTTTTAGTCCTCAGATAGGAGACGGCTCCACCATCTTTACACTTAGAAATGGCACTAAATGCTGTTTAATGTTCCAACTGGCATCGTTAACTTATGTGAATATGAGTGTGCAGCTGCCTGTTGCTGCTTGGTTGCTGGACAGAGACGGAGACGTCCAATCCCTCACTCCAGGAGGACACTGATTGGATGGATGTAAAAGCTGCTGACGTTTGTTTACTTAAGTTTTCTCATGTTTTTCTTAGTTATGTTTTTGTCATTTGGTTTATTTACTTTCCATTAGGTCAGTTGGTTAATGTTCAGATTTGTCGTTTTGAGCATTAGCTCTCTCTGGCGTCATGTGCCCCACTTGTTGTAAAATTTTATCTTAAAATACCTTTTCTTTTAAATAAACAACATGATAAAACATTCATGTTTGTGTGCTGGCTGCTTGGGATCTGAAGAGGATGGATCTTTCATGTTATGATCGGGACCCTAGACAGGTTGCAGCAGCTAAAAACCGTCTCAGATGTGTTGAATATTGTGTTAATCTGGTTTAATGTTCACCTTGTTTCAAGACAAGATGTGGACCCTTTATCAAATATTTAGCTTCACACTAATTACACAGAAAAAACAGCCCTATTTTAATACACTTCTATCGTCTGTTAAAGACACTAGAACAGGTGAGTAGAGCATTTTCAATGAGAACATAAAATGAATCATTTCAAAAATGAACATTAGATCAGATTCTTACCTGATCTGATTGGCTTTGACTGTGAAAGGTTCACTGCCTTCATCTTTGACCAGCCGGACTTTATAATTATATGCGGATGGATTCAGAGGCTTCTTCTTTCCACTGAAAGCACAAACATGAAGTCATACATTTTACATTTTAGTAACTTCTTCAGGATAAAAAGCAACAAACATTAGGAACAGCATGAGAAGAGCTGTACACCAAATTCTTTATTTTATTAAATCTCTTTCCTCTTTGTTCTGAACTGGATATGCAGTTATAAGATGAAAATAAGCTTTATGAGATTGTTACACATGTATTAGTAGAAACCTCAGAAATCGGGTTTCCATCAGCGTTCGGCCTCTAACTCTTTGGCAGCAGTTCCAGCCTCCAGTCTGTTTGGATCTGAATCCTCCAGCTGAGCTCTGCATCTTTCTTTTTCAGAACATCTCAGCTCCATCAGGTTGCAGGGAGGCGTCTGCAGCCTTTTTCAGAATCAAATCTGGACTCTGTCTTGGTCCCTCCGGGACATTCAGAGTGGTTCTGATCCACTCCTCTGAGAGTCTGCTGCGTTCTTTGGGTCGTTGTCCCAGTCTGAGGTCCGGAGGTCTCTGGATGCCTCCAGGTTCACCTTCTCTCCATCATCCAGCCACTCAGAGGGCAATAAATCAGAAGTAGCAGCTGCCTAATACTAGTGAAGATGAAGAGTCTGAGCACCATCTGTTTGTGATGCACCATTTGAAAGTAAGGCTGAAATAAGCAGCCTGTTAGGATGAAAGCACCTGTGCTGTAAGGTAGGCTGCAAGAGGGGTTTAAAGTCGTAGAGAAGCGGCCGTTCCAACCGTTGCATTTCTGAACTCCCCCGAGTGGTGCACGACTTTACACCAGTGAATAAAGTGAATGTGATTGGTCGATTATCAAGGGGGCGGGATTGTTGTGGAGGAAGGTTTGCAGTTTTGTTGTGGCTGGTTTGTGGGAAGCATCTAGCTAACCAGTTAGCAACTTAGCGCTAGCAGGTTCCCAATGGGAAATTCCATTGGGACCAAGTAGCATTAAATTGGTGACTTAGAAACGACGCTGTCAAGGAACGCTATGGACAGAGGAAACATGCAAGAGGAGGAGAGTTTAGTGTCGGAGGTCGTGGATGAGTCTCCTCCGACACTAAACTCTCCTCCTCTTGC